TGCCCGGAGATGGCCCCTTTCATTATTTTATAGACATCTAGATATAGCAGCAATAAATGCCTATGTTATTTTTAAATGTAATAACCTTGACATTAACAAACAACGAAGAGTATTTCTTAAAGATCTGGCATATGAACTTAATATCACCACTTTAAATTGAGAGCAACACTGAAGAATATTCCTAAAGAAATTTATGTTTATTTGGAAAAATATAGAGATAATGACAAAACAGTTCAAGACATTTTTAAACCTGGAATTTGTTACATTTGCTGTAAACACAAAAATAATCGCACGAAAGCAATTTGTCAACCATGTAAAAATAACGTGTATGTAAGAAACATAGCCACATCTCTGTTAATTGTATCCATTGTAATAATAATGAGTAAATGAAAAATAAAATTTATTTTTTGTTGTAAATGCTAAAGAAAACAATGAAATATCTTATTTAAAGATCTAGAAATCGAAACTATCGAATGCGGTTTAAAAGCCGCCACGCGACTTACCATGGATTTTTTTTGTACGACCGCCAGAGGGATAACGCCGGTAGTTGATGATTTATAAGACTCAAGTGACATCTGTTTATTATGTTTCTCATTTATCATTTCTTTTTCCATACGCCAGTTTTCCTTAGAACCATAAGGTATATTTTCCAGTCAGATATGCTGCTCTGTGTCTATTGTTATATACTTCTAAACAGTTGTTTCAAGCTGTATTCATTAAACTTACCTCTTTTTGGAGGGAGAGAATACTTATCTAAGGGCTCTTTGAGCTCATTTTATTAAACTTGCATATTTAAATATTAACGCTGCCTGTTATATCGTCTTTAAATGTCTATTTCGTGATTCTCCCTTTGCCCTTCTTAGTTTCTTAGTATCATAGTCACAGCTTTACGATAATTGATCCCTCACTTAATTAATAACTCACTTTTGTCCTTTGATTTACACAGTTTCCATTCCATTAAAATACTTTTTAGTTGAAGTTGATTACTAGCTCTAAAAACATATATTTAATATCGATATGACAGCTTTGGCAGCTATATATAAGTTCAGTGTATGCCTTATAGTCCCTTGAACCCTGTTTAATCAATATTACTGGTCTGTTTGGTATTATTCAGTCTGTTTGGCGAGAGCTATGATAAGTCTACTTAACACAGTCTGACTATTATTCGGACCTTATCCATTTTTTTAATTCTAGCCATGTGAGTCGTGAAAATTTTCAAACTAAGCAGGATACTAGGACTTGCTTTTTTAAAAAACACAGAGGCTACGAGATGCACACAAACGGCAGCTATGAAGGCCCTACCGGATCACTCTTCCTTACACATTGTTGTAAGTTTAGGAGGTTGGGTAAGAATGGGCGGAGGTGATATTGCGATACTATTGACTGCGACAAATTTTGAGTAACGAAATGGTTATCAGATCTTCATCAACAAATCTTGCACTGTGCAAGGAAAATTAGCACAAATATCTATAAAGTCAAGCGTATCAGTATATACACAGGTCTTTAAGTAGCCATGTAGGCATTATGAAGCATATGTTACGAAACGTTAGTGACTTACAATAAAAATTGCTGGACGAAACTCACAATAAAAACTCTGCAAACTAGCAAACTAAAAATGATATTAGGTTTAGGAATATTGTACCGAGCTGGAGTACTCTCATCGTTACTATAGTTTATTTTATGAACGAGAGAGTAATTAGCATAATTTTAACTGGTATTTCCGACCACTCCATGGGCGTGCTCAAGATTAATTGAAAAATTACTTTGAATAATTGTAAAAAATAAATGAATTATTTCAGTGTTATAAAGTGTTATGTGTATGTAAACAAAAGTGACCTCTTTTATCACACACTATATTAAAACTGACTGGCCTACATTAAAAAGGGTTCTAAAAAATTCACATTTTTTTTAATTTTTAAAAATTACAAAAGAGAAAAACAGTTTTTAAAACCGTCTAAGGTATGTTAAATAGATGAATAAAAATATTAATATAAACCTTACAGCTACTTGTTACAAATCCAAATCAGATTCAGAAGATGAACTTTCAGAACCAAGATTTATAATAACTGGCTCGATCATTTTATCAGTAATATTGTCCAGCTTCCACATTTTTTCCTCTTCTTTAATAGTGTGATTTACTGCCTTTTCCCAGTTTTCAGGTTTTACATTATTTACGGCCTCCAAAAACAACTGTTTAACATCATGAATTTTAAAAGTGGTATTTTTTCTTGAAACTTCACCTTTATCTGTGCCCATACCAGTTCAATCGGGTTTAATTCACAATGATATGGTGGGGATCTAAGTACTGTCATTCCACGATTTTTGGCAATTTCATCAATTTCGTATTTTTTAAATTTTTCTTTATGAAGGGCACACAACGAATAAAGTTCCTTTCTTATAGATCCGGGATGGTACGTAATATTTTTTGAACTCAGCCAATTCTGCAAGTCTTTTTTTAACCACTTGGTTGTGGGCAGTCCTTCTATAAGTCTGGAGTGATAACTTGCATTATCCATTACTATTACACAGTTCTTAGGAAGAAGATCTATCATTTGTTCGAACCATTCTTGAAAGACATCAGCGTTCATGTCTTCATGGTAGTCACCGGTACGAGTTGATTCAAAAGTTAATAAACCACCTTCAACAAAACCGTCTGAACTGCCAATGTGTACTATTATCAGCCTGCGTCCCTTTCCTGATGGTGGGTTTAAACCAGTAGATAAGTTATTTACAAAAGCGTGCCTTTGACTTGTAACAGTTTCATCCTGCCAAAATTTATTTGGTGTATGACCCTCGTTGATCCATGTTTCATCAAGATAAAATATTTTTCTTTTTTGGTTTCTCATTTCCTTTATGGTTCTTAGAAAATGTCTTCTCCATATGACAATATCGCTTCTTTCTAATAAAATAGACTTTCTGGGATTCTTTTTCCAGCGGAAGCCTATTTCTTTTAAAAGTTTCCATAACGTACTTCGACTCATTTCTGGGTAATCCTTATCATCTCGAACTGAGACAAGAACTTTATCCAATGTTGGAAATTCTTGTCTAAAGAAGAATTCATGCACTTTCCGTCGAAGTCCTTCTTTAAAATGATATTCTATTTGAAATTTTGGTTTCCCTGGAGCATTACGTGGCATTTGAAAACTACCACATTTCTCTTCTTTAATAACTCTGTAAATCGTAGATTTCCCAACACCAAGTGTACTGCTAACTAACTCAACGGTCTCATCAACACTTTCACATAAACGTTTGTCTGTAAATGATTTAAAACAATTAAATATTAATGTTTTTTCATTAACTGTTAAAGGACCAATTTTTCGGCGTTTACACGGCACTTCCAAATTTTCCATAACACTAGTATACACAATAAACTGCACCTTGCAACTGAAGTACCTACTTTTAGTGAACTGTTAAGAATTTTGAATACGCCACTTGGACCTTCCTACAAAATGGAAAAACCCACTATCACATTTTCTGTGGAATAAGTTTAGAAGGTAATTATCTAGTCAATTACTGTCGTAGATTCCTGGAATTAAAGAATTAAATGTTTGATTGTTGAAACCCTTACTTCGTGGAATGCACTCATTTCAGATAAAATAAAACGTTTTATTTTATCTAAAGAATTAAACTTTATTTTGCAAATAGGTAGGTACTTATTAAACTTTTATTGGTTATATATAACCAATAAAATAAACATCTTACATTTCTTGCAAATTCATTAGTACCTGTTAACCTCCATCACTCCGACACTGGCAACCTTATTTAGGGATTAGTAACCCTCACAACTATTGTATTCTATTCTGCTCCAACCTTTATACCTGGTGGTCATACTCAATTTAAAATTGTTTTCCTATATACTTCTGTAAACTTGTTGACAAATATCTGTTTTTCATTGAGTCACCCCTATCAACAGTTTAGGGATTTGCATACATAATTTATTGTTTTATTACTCTCTCATACATAAAAATACACTATAGAGATGGCGATTACGTACAAAGTATAAATTTTACTACTGGAGGAAATACGGTGGATGGAAACCAGAACTATTAACAAGAGAACCAGTTTTAAATCTATTTACCCGCTTTAAATTATATCCAGAAATACATAGATAAAAATCATAAATGTGTTACTTGTGTGAGTCCATTTCAAATAGGTAAAAGAAATAATAAATAAGACTTACTCACAATCAGTTAAGTACTCACATAGATAAAACTGTACAAAACAATAATACACTTAGTCCTAACATATTGTTTAGACACCTAGAGTATAACAAAAAGTAATGAAAACATGTTAAGATGTTAACATGTTTTCAAAGAAAAGTAATAAAGCGAATCTAGGAAGTGGTGATTGATAATGGAATGTAGAAACGACGATACATCTTTAAACTGTATATAATACACCAGAAACCAAATATCGTAAAATATATAGGTTCTCTATAGGTAAAATATATATCGTAAAATATATAGGTTCTCAGGTGGTAGGGCATGTCATACGGAAGGAAAAAAAATATTCAGCTGGAAAACCACACCTTGATAGACCTATTAGTCAAAGAAAAAGGAAAATACTGATAACATCGATGAAGACATAAGAAATATGGGAATACGTGCTTAGCGGAGAAAAGCAATGCATATGATCGACTGGAGGGAAATTCTTGAGGAAACTAGGTCAATCACAGAGTTGTAAAACCAGAATGATGATAATTTGATTTATTTTATCATTCGTATGATTTTGCATATATTTTTCTGTAATTGTTAATCATTTCTTGTCTTTTATTGATAAACATATGTTTTAGATTCTGCATTTTGTTTGTGGAGTTACAGTGGAGTGAAGTGTGGGTTATGGAGTAATATTTTAAAAATACGTCTCTTTCTAGTTATATAATATATATGAATTTTTGATTTTACTGTTTTATATGTGCTTTTAACTATTTTTATTAATGTCTGAAAATTTCTATGTGCTTTGTATTTTATGAGAAACAAACAAGACTAAAAGCTACTTACTCTAATATATGCAGCAAAATCTTCCATAAAAGTGCTGTTAGTATATACTTGTTTCATCAGAACTCCGGCACGAGTTCGATTCTCTGGAGACATATTGAGATTGGCATGTATAAGGAGACTGGGATCATTGTCAAGTCCTTGCAATAAATTTGTGTTGTTTCTATTGGTAGCTAAGTATGCACAATATTAAAAAAATTTAATTTTTTTGGTCTCATCTAGCTTTCACAAAAAATGTAATTATTTTTAACGTAATTCTTATTGGCTACGATTCTGATTGTTTTTATATAAAAACTAAGAATTAAAACTACTTAAGGCTTATCCTCGAATATTGTAACGGTAAAATTCAGAGAGATGTCTATTTCAAAAATATCTTTCTTTACAAAAAACAAAATCCATTCACGAAGAATATTCTAAACGTCATCTTGTACTAGAGGTAAGCTTTATACCTACCTTATACAACCCCCTATTGTGTAAAGTCTTGGGTCTATACAATAAACAAGTGGGCGGCCTTCTATTCAGTGCGGTTTTGAAATAATGTTGAATAAAAACATTCATGAAATTAAAATGAAAGAATTTACTTCTATTAGTAGAAGTGCGATTTATAAAATTAGTACTTGAAGCATAAATCGCGGGAGGAATATGTGCATCAGTTTTCAAATATTTATTATTTACTATATAATTTCTAAATTGAACCACTTTCACTTCTTTAGTTAACAATGTATCTGTTTTGACAACTAAATAGGTAATTAGACAAAATAATTATTAATTTCAAAACAGGAGTTTAAAGAATTAGAAAGAGGTAGCCCGGGCCCAGTTAAATGGTCAAGCTTATTCCAGTGGAAGCAATAAGGAGGATTATTTTTCGTTTTGGCACAGCTGACATGCTCTCTCTAGCACTACAACCCATGAAACTGTGGTAAAAAGCATGCTTTATTTATACGGTTGTGAAACACGACGATTAACAGAGACAGATTAATATCGAAGAAAGATATCTCGTCGAACTTAATGCAATAAAGTATGAGAATAGAAGGTACAGTCATGGATGGCATACAACGAAAGCAGCTCAAATGGGTACAGGTCCAATAAATGAAAGACAGTAGACTCCTAAAACAAGTACCTGTATGAGCACCTACCGTAATCCAGAAGAGAGGATTACCTTAGAAAACACGGATGGAAGGAATAAGAAACTTAATGAGCTCGAAAGAACTTAAAGAACAATGGAACAACCGAATTGAATGAAAAATGAACGTCGGAAGATATTTTATAAGGATTATATCATATTATAGGTACATTTTTTGGACTAAAAATAAATTTGAAGAAAACCAAGTTCATGGTATTTACAAAAGCACAAAGCATCAAAGTTAAGCTAGTACTAGATAATACAGAAATTGAACAAATATCTTTGTACAAATACCTTGGAGCATGGATCACAGAAGATACTGATTAGACAAAAGAAATAAGATGCCGCATTGGAATTGCACGGTCAACTTTTAATAGAACGAGAAAACTTTTTTGTAATCGAGATATCAATATATCGCTCCGGATAAGAATGCTTTGATGTTATATTTTCTTTACCCTTTTATATGGGATTCAACCATACCCTTTTATATGGGATCACAGTAACATATGCCGGTGAGCCTGGACATTAAATAAGAAGGAAGAGGATACTCTGGAAAGATGGGAAAGGAAAATATTGAGATGCATATTCAGAGGACGAAAGGCAGAAGATGGTTGGGAGAGAAGAACCAACAATGAATTAATGGCTTTATACAAAGAACCTACTATTACCAAGTTCGTCAAGGCACAAAGAATCAGATGGTTGGGACATGTGGAAAGAATGGCAGCAAACAGAATTCCTAAACTAGTAATAACCAGAAAATTAATCGACCCCAAAAGAAGAGGTAGACCCAGAACGAGGTGGATTAGTAAAGCGGAGGAAGACCTTAAACACGTGAAGGTGAGGGAATGGAAAAAAAGCACAAAATAGAAGCGAATGGAAAAATATTGTACACCAGGTCCTTCAGAGTAGTTAAGAATGTTATATATACATATTTACGTTAAAGTTTTGTTTAAAATAATTGTAATTAGTTAATATTAGAATTATGTTGTAAAAAAATGCTCTAGGCCTTAACGGCCTGTTGTGCGTAAAAATAAATAAATAAATAATAGAGTGCAAAAATCGAAAGAATCGCGCTTTTTGCATTAATTGTTAATCATTAAAAAACGGCTCCGAACTTTACGCAGGAAACAGGTAGGTTTTCTTCTTATAGGTCTACAATAACTAAAAAAGTTGTCAGCTACCTGGATTATTGAGTGTCACGAGAAAATCCTTATTAGCCTGGACTAATATGGCTGGACAAGCAAGTGAAGAAACAAACTTCATATATTATGTAAACTTTACTAACAAAAACGTTGAAAATAAATATTCCTATAAATATAAATAATCAAATTCCATATTCAAATACAGCAAAATATTTGGGTATTGTCCAATAAATATAAATAATCAAATTCCGTATTCAAATACTGCAAAATATTTGAGTATTACTCTAAGCTTTTATGTAAAGAAGAAAAGAAAATAATAATTCTGATTGAAATACAAAAAAATGTACTGGCTGATTGACCAAAATTCTACGCTGTTTCTACATAATAAATTATTATTATATAAGCAAATACTGAAACAATAGTATTATTATAAAAACAGTATAAACATTTAGAAGGAAAATGTTACAAATTAACAGAAAATATTTCTATTCATATAAAAATTTAATCAAATTATAGGTACTTATTATAGGTACTGCTTATTTATATAAAATTTCCTCAATCGGAACATAAACTTCTTCGTGAACTACCCATTTTAAAAACAATTAACACACTGGTTTGTCAAAAGTCGAAATAAACCCTAATAATGTTATTCAACATTATTTATGACCCACCTTCGAGAGGGTATTATACTTCTTACCTAACCAACCTAACCGTGTCGACGAGAATCCAGAAACTATCGACAAGGACAGCCTGTACTGGCCGAGAGAGAAAGTTACATTTAGCAAAATTTGAGATTTTAAAAAAAGTTTATACCAAATAGCTGCTTTGTGTTACACTTTATGTTAAAAATAAAAACAGATTCGGAAAGTGGGTCAAATTCTGTAGTGCCCTATTTCAAAAAAAAATTTTTTACGTTTATTTTAACCAAAAATATTTGAAAAAAAAAAATATTGTTTAAACAATTTATTAATTTACAAGTAAATAGTGCACTAGAACTTTTTAAGACCTTTCATATAAAAAAAGAATCATCTCAATATCTGCCATAGTTTTTGCGTTATTTGATATAAACTTTTACATTGGAACTTAGGTATGCCCAGAAACGCAAGGAACGGCCTTGGTTACCATAAATATTACCTACTTATGGCCTTAATGTTTTATAAAATATTTTAACATATGTTTTACTATTTATGAAGCAATGATGAATATATTTAGTAGGAAAATATGTATCATATTGATGTTTGATGTTTGATATAATTAAACGAAGTTACATAGAAGTAAAAACTTCTTGTATATAATGGTATATTATTTAAAATCAGCAGCAAAAAATTTAAAACTAAAGACTAAAAACTACTACAAAGATCTATAAAAACCCGCCATATTGCACGTAAAAAAACTAACTTATAATAGTAAAGTGTAGATGTAAAATTAAAAAGTGACTAAACACACTGGCACAAAGCTATTGTTATAACAAAGTTAACATTAAAAAAGATTTTGTACTTCACTTTACGGCGCATTCCAAATTAAAGGATTCTAACCCGAAAACGAATGTCTATTTCCCGACATTTTCAATAAAGTAGAATATGTGTCTCTTAGTTGTGAGTTAATACAACTTTTGGGGAGTATGAGACGAGCAGACGCAATACACCAGAACGCAAACCTACAACGCAGAGTAAGTACTAGTCAGAAATAAAGAGAAGGTTGATAGGTAGCTGGAATGTGATAATAAATGATCAAAGGAAACGGAAATAAAACAGTCTGGATGATAAAAGAACGTCGAAGAATTCCTCATTTGATATTGGAGAGAAGAGAATGGTATAATAAACAGAGGTTGTCGATGTCGGTACGTTTATTCATGTTGGAGGGATTAAGGAAAATGTAGCAGATTTCAAGAAAGCTTGAGAAGAAATTGTAAAATTTTGATTATTATTAATATTAAATTAATTAATATATACTGACTAATAAATTAATTTTTAATGTTCCATTTGTTAACAGAAATAACATTCTCACTAATTCACAATCAGTGCCCTCAGCACAAAACAATTCTTCTCAAATAAGTGTGTATGTTTATGCCCTTCCATATATTCCAAAACTAACCGTAGAACTTAGTAAAATTTTCAAAGAATTTAAAAACATCAAAATAGCTAACAAGAACATCAAAACCATACGTCAGCTGTATAGCAAAATAATATATATATATATATAAGGTTCTTGAACTCCTAAGTGGAGCATAGAGCTTCAGTGAAAACGCGCCATCGGGTTCTATTTTGCGCTAAGGCCTTCACCTCATTCCAAGACTTTCCTTGTTTTCTCATCTCGTCCATGATGGATCTTCTCCAAGTTTGTACTGGGCGACCTTTTTTTCGTTTTCCTTGGGGATTCCACTCTAGGGCAGTCTTTGCAGAAGATAGCAAAATAAAATAACCCCTAACTATTTTAGAGTCAAGAGATGTTGTTTATTGCATTCAATGTACTGAATGTCCATCCACGTACATTGGTGAAACTGGAAGAAATCTGTCTAGTCGTATCATTTCTCATAAGAGTGACTGTAGACTAAATAAACCCACTTGTGCTTTGGCAGAACACACTATCGATCTAGACCATAAGATAGATTTCAACAATGTAAAATATTAGCCAGAGAGAAAAATAAATTTAAGAGAACATTCTTAGAAACGGTACATATCAGCAGGAGTGATAACAACAATCTGAATAAAAGATCTGAGATCCAGAATCTTAGCAAAATTTACAATTTTATTTTGACTTTTGACTAGGGTCTTCTGCATCTCAGAGTGTTTCATATCTTGTTTCTTAAATTCCATTATTTATTGCTATAATTATCATGATTAACTTCAGTTATTATTCAGACGGTTCATTTTGTTTTTTCTAAACCTACTTACTAAAAACTATTTTCTTTTTATTGTTTGATATAATGAACTTTTTTAAATTTCCCTCTCAATTTAAAGTTGGTAACATGGTTGGTAGTACTTAAAATCACAAACGGTATTTTGTTAGACATCAGTTTGAAAGTTTGTTTTTTGTAGTTACATCGAACTATTTAAACAACAATAGTTCCTCCTACTGCCTCTTTCTGTTCGTGAGATGTGACTGAATTCAAACCTGCGAAGACGACTGTTTTTTGTCAAACATGTCGTCTTATTTTTTACATTTTAAACTTTGTAACATGTTCTTTAATTTTTAAGTTATTTTAAAATTTTTAACAGTTTTAATGCCTTCAGTAATTCAGATCACATTATGTTATTTAACGTTGTGTTTTATATGCTATGAATCTTACTTTCTGGTAAGTTTTTATAACTTTTATATTACATCAGCCTAAGTTTATAACACAGTAATTTTCATTGTAGACCTTGATAAAGGTGGCAAACAACCACCGAAAGCTCGGATTTCAGAATAAATAGTACGCCTTAGCAAAGCTCTATTTTTTATTGACTACCACACCCAAAAAGAAAAAAGTATTTACATATTATATATATATATATATATATATATATATATATATATATATATATATATATATATATATAAATACTTAACTAAAAGGATAAACTCCAAAGCGATAAGGTATCTACGAGAGAGAGAGTAGGAAAAACAAAAACAGAATACCATATAAATCAATCAAGAAATTTCACTTAAAAACTGATACTAAAATAATAAATAGATGAATATATGCAATCTAATATAACTAAAATTCAACGTCTGAAAGATTAGAAGGAACGTCACAAAGAAAGAGAAAACACATATATTAAACTGTCCTAATTTAAAAAAAAAAAGCATTAAATAGAATTAATTGTACTGCATTTTTAGACTTGTATATCTAAAATAAACTCACTCTTATATAAGCTCCAAAATCGTTGACAAAAGTCGTTGGGGTATAAACTTTCTTTATTAACTTTCCTGCTATGTGTCGATTTTCTGGTGACATATTTAAATTTTTATGAATGAGCAGCTCTGGATTATCATCAAATCCTTTTAAAGTTCCATTACTTCGATTTTTAGCTTAAATAATAAATCAAATTAAAAAAATATTGAAATGACTTTAAATACTCAGCCTCCAAATAATAGTTGAGGCACAAAAAGTGCAAGTAGAAAATGAAAACCGAAGGAGACAAGGTAACTCGTTATCAAAGATTGAGTTTACTACATTGTTAAATCGGCTAATTAGTCTTAGGGTAAACAGAAAACGTCTTTTTTATTACATTGCATAAGTGTAAATTTATTTATTTAAATTAACGTGTATATGACATCCCTAGTCAAACTAGTTAAAGTTTAAAGTTAATATGATAGATATTATAAACTGCAAGTAATATAGTTTAAACAACATTATATATATATATATATATATATATTATATATATATATATATATATATATATACGTGTATATATATATATATGTATATATATATATATATATATGTATATATATATATATATATATATTATATATATATATATATATATATATATATATATATATATATATATATATACTTTTTTGCGCAATTTTTGCGTTCACGACTTAAAAAGGGGTAAGGCCAAAATGTGACATGAAGGGCAAGGTGGTCGAGGTTGCAGGATAGTGGCATCCTGCTTACTTAAATATGTTGAAATCTGACCTTCTGTTAAGAATATTATCATATTTAGCGATAACTGCGGAGAACGGAATAAAAATACTCTTATCGTACGATTTTGATCTTATATCGTAGCCAAAACCTCTATAGAGTCCGTAAGTCTCATTTTTTTGTGCCACGTCATTCTCTTATAAAATGCGACTAGGATTTTGCCGTCATTGAAAATTTCAAAAGAACAAGTGAAGCTCAGGTATTTGTTCCAGAGAACTGGCGAAAAGTTGTGAAAAGCCAGTACGAACTTTATTGTTGTCGATATGGCAGAAAATTCTATCTCCTTAGAAAAACCACTTAATAAATTACTTGTTTAAAAAATAATCAGTATAAGAAGATGGTATGGTTCCGCCTTGAAAAGGAGGATCCTTTTACCTTACTGTACAAAACAGCGTTTGTTACCGATGTTCCGTTAGACAAACGAAGCCTAAGACCTCCAACAAAGGGCAGATCATAAGTTCTAAAATATTTGCAGATTTTAAAAGAAAAACAAGGCAACAAAATCCAATCAATCCAGAAAAGTACAAAGATCTTCTAAATCTCTTGGATTTTATACCGCCAATTTATTATAACTTCTACAAAGAACTGACAACAACGTAGTCGGAGAACGAGAAGAAGAAGAAAAAAGCAAGTTACTGACAACAATGATATTGAACAGCAAGACAACATATTTTTCACAGACAATGAATCATAAACCATGTGTTGGTTTGTAAAATATATTGTTATCCGAGCTAACTGGTTTTTATTACCATTAACCTTTTTTCACATGACAAGGTGGATAAGTGCTGTACCTTATTAAAAATTCAATTTGTACCGAACATACTATTGTTGATATTTCTTTCGAATTTGATAAATATACAAACAAAGTTCCATATAGTTTGAAAATATAAAAATTAAAGAGAAACCTGCCTAGGATTTATCATAATACATATTTAAACTTTAACCTTTATTTTCTCAAAATGCGATAAACTTCACTTCCCCCCCCCTGGCTTCGTGATGCCCTAATTAAAAAAATAATACTCTATTTTATTTATATCTATTATCATTAACTAACCACCCTTCAACAAAATAAAGTGTTCACAAAAACTTTAACAAATACAGAAACATATATTTATTTTTTATGAAAGCTTAATGAGACTTATAATGCATAAAAAATAACGAAAGACTACTATTTTACTGATAATTGGTTAATTTATTAAAACATACCGTATTTTATCCACTCTTCGGAATTAAAGCCAATCATCATTGGAACTTTCTTAAAGTTGCCATCCATAAAACTTTGTAAGGGAAGAAGAGAATAGTAACCACTTTTTTCTATCATGTTTCCATAAGTACGACCAGCCTTAAAAATTAATATTTATTTGTATACATATTTTTTGGAATACTACTGCATAAGTGAAACTAATTAAATATTGATTTTTCTACAATAACCGCAATCGACAGCACTTCGGTTTGAATGTCTAATGCATTTTAAATAGGTGAATACGTCAGTTAGGTAATAATTAGTCGTCAATATCCTTTGGATGTTAAGATATTACGTTTTAACCCTCAACTGGTATAGTGATTTAATTATCTTTTTAAGGTATGCTGGGTGAATGGTGACCCACGAATAAAAAAACTTCACGATTTTAAATATAAGATATATATAAGATATGTTATTTTTTAATTAGATTATTTTATGTATTAAACCTTTAGAAAACATATAAAACAAGAAAATAAATGAAAACAGAATATGTACATACCTAATTATTATAAATTATTCATAAACATTTTATTTCTTGTACGGTTATACGAAAACTAACTAAATAGTAATTACTATTTAAATGGGAATAAGCCACAATTAAAGGTTAAAGTACGTTTATTGACGTTTTAATTTCCACTTCGGAAATCGTTCTTAAAATATAAACATTAAAAAATTAAACAAATTTTTTTTTGCTACTTAGTGAAAAATTCTTTTAATAATTTAATTTTATATGACTTATTTAAATTGACAATTTAGACATACAATACGCATTGTAAAGTAGACGACTTTAAAATGATATTGCCAATATTGTTAAGTTGCGCTCGGAACGACTTTATTTAGGTATAAGATAGTTCATTCGATTACATGAAATCAACGTTAACTTGAGAATATCCGTCAGAAAAAATCATAGCGTGTAATTCATATTTTGTCCAAAAAACCAAACGTAACAATGAACAAGAAAGGACAAAAATTGCATTTATAAAATACCTTTTGAATGCCATCAGTTTTATTTATGTGAAACATCAAGGCAAATAAATGATAGAATAAGTAAACATCATTCTTATATTTAAAATACAGAATTTGATAGATCTCAAATATGTAACCACGCATGGGATAATGAACATAGAGTTCAATGGAATGATTTAAATATAGTCCTAAAAGTAATGGATGGTAAAAAGAGAAAAATCAAAGAAGCGGCTCTAATTATGCTAAATGAGACCAATTGTGTCGCAAATTCCTCGGCAGAATGTAGTAGGATCTGGTTACCCATATTGAAAGAGGAAGTTATTAAAAAGAAAATACCAGTATTAGTAAGTCAGTAACATATGGAGGATACATCATTTATGTTTTTTAAATAACAAACATATAAAATCAGAATTTGGTGTTTATTGAAGGTAAATAAATGCACGACCAAATACTTACCATGTCGGGATAGTATTATGAGGTTTTTTTCCTGGTTTTTCCCTCATAATTTACTATGGAATCACTAACAGGAGAATTTTACTGTCATCATGGCATGTGTTTGTCTTTTTAAAGACGAATTACATGCTATGATTTTTTCTGACGGATATTCTCAAGTTAAAGTTGATTTCATGTAATCGAATGAACTATCTTATAAGTAAAGTCGTCCCAGGAGCGCAACTCAACAATATTGGCAATATCATTTTAAAGTCGTCTACTTTAAAATGCATAATGTATGTCTGAATTGTCAATATAAATAAGTCAGATAAAATTAAATTATTAAAAGAATTTTTCACTAAGTAACAAAAAAACAAAATTTGTTTAATTTACTAATGTTTGTATTTTGAGAACGATTTCCGAAGTGGAAATTGAAACGTCAATAAACGTACTTTAACCTTTAATTGTGGCTTATTCCTATTTAAATAGTAATTACTTTAAAATGCCACAAGAAAATAGCTTCAGAACAATATTAAATAAATAATAATTAAAATATTTAAAAAACTTAAATATAATTAGGTACTTCTTTTTCCAACTTATTTTTTTTTTAACATTAGGAATTTTAGTCAAGAAGTCTAGGGTATTTTGTACCTTTGTTAAAATGTACCAAAATTACATATTTGAAGACTTAATACCGCACACTGCAAACATTTCACGACTTCAATGCTATGCTCCTTACAAATACTCTTAATACATACTGAGCACATTTTTAGATGTTTGTCGTCATTAGAACACATGTGACATCGCTGTCTTTTCTTGACATGGGGATTTTCTTGTCTGGACTATTCTGCAGGTATTTCAATAAAAGTCATTATTATACCTTGAATGTCTGGTGTAGTAAAGACAGCATTATGACAGCTTTACGCTTTTTAGGCACATATGTTAAGAGCGTTATATCGTTTGTAAATCCAAAAATTGTTGACAAACCGGGGCAGTCTTTATTAGGCAAAAATTCAGGGGATCTCCTTTTTTGTTTTTTCACAATGTTCTTGTATACATTAGTTCACTAAAAACCAGTTATCAGCCATGATATTTTAATTACTGTTTCCAATAGGCTGTCCAAGTTGTAAAACGTTAAGTGTGGAAAAGGAATTTTTTTTGGATTGGTACAATCATGTTTTCTAGCATATACAAACGCATTCAATAAATAATGTGTATTAGCATCACACAGACGCATTTTTTTATGTCATATTTATTCAGTTTATTCGGCATAAACATTTCGTATAGAATTCTCCCCCTAAACCCTACCAGCATTTCATCAATAGTCATCAACGGACCACAAACATAATTTGATTGACAGTTGGCAATCATAAGGTTAAATATTTTCTGAAATAGCGGCAAGTTTATCGCGATTTTTGATTCGTTCATTTCTTGTGACACTATTATCAAAGCGCAACGCAGCGCATAAGAAACAAAAACGTTTTAGTGCCATAGTGTACATCTTCACCATACATCTTCATTATTTGATTTAAAAGCACCAGACAGTAAAAGGAGACCAATGAAAGCTTTTATTTCAGCTTTTTCTACATAGTTTTTAAATTGACAGTTTAGGGTCCTATCAGAGTAATAGACATTGTGAAATCAGTAATTCTTTTATTTGTATGTTCTATTATAATATTTAGCATATGATCGTCAAATATCAAATTCCATGATTTTACTGGTTCGGCTGGTTTATTTCTGTATGCATCTCATATCACCGCAGGTATGCGTGTTCTGGTTGTGCTTTCTTTACGAGTTTTTCCGCAGACTGGAGGTATTTTTGACCACTTGTATTTATTCTTTATAAAAAAATACTGCCCTGCTACCTCTAATTCTTCCTTTTCATCTTTTTCAACCGTATCGGATTGTTCTTGAACAATTTCATTTTCAGCTTGCTTCTTTTCTGATTCCTTTAACACTGAAGTACTCTCATGATCGCTTAACTCGCTCTTATCACACGAATAGTCACTAATATAAGCGTTTAAAGCCTCTTCTTCAAGTTTTTGCTGCGTAAGAGGTCTGTTGCGGCGGTTTATTATGTAAAACAGTCAAACAAAAATATTGTCACTAAAGGTATACTGGGTCAAATTCTTGTTTTTTCGAAAAACAGTCGCCCGCACCTACAATAGTCAGTACCGTACAAAATAGGAGAATTCACAATTGGCCACTGCCGTCCGCCGTTTGCTATATTGGTTAAATTATAAAAATAAATTTAATCGGATCAATATTGACCCATAATACCAATTGAAGGTTAAGAATAATTTTTTAATATTAAGATATTTATTATATTAAGCTGGTTGTCCATATACAATCAAATATTGTAATCAAAGAGGGAAATATAACGAGGATTGATCATCAATTTAAATACTAGTCATTGCGGATTTTATTTTGACATTGTTGTTTGTTATTTCAATTATTGTCGACATTTTAAATTTAATCGAAGAAACTTTTCATCATATATGTGTCATCATTATAGCCATTATATAAAATCCTACTGCAGGATCACTACGGTTAAACGTAGGTTGTCAAGCTTACATTTTTACATACATTTTAAATTACGAAAATACATTGATAAAATAGGTTGCCAGTCAAAAAGTAGTTCAATTCAATTAATAGTAAGCAATTTTGACAGAAAATTTATTTCGTTCATTTATTTTTTTTTAATAAAATACGCTGTCCATGGTGCGTATGCTTTTGTTTTGAATCAAATTAAAGCTAATGTTTTTCTTAATAGGATGATATAAGTTTGCCTGAGAAAAACTGCTCGAAAATTAGGTTTGCCGTTGTTAAACACGCGAGGTGTAAAAGGTAAAATAAAAGACCGATGGCCCGCAACGCTACTGGTTTGAAGTGCCGGTTGTGTAAGTTTTAAATCATGGATATATATATATATATATATATATATATATATATATATATATATATATATATATATATATATATACAGTGCTAGTCAAAAGTCCGTTCCCCCCTCGTATCTTTTGAACGGTTATTGTTATAATAGTGAAATTTGGAGGGAGGTAATAAACAGACGTAGGCTTCTCAACTAGTCATAACAGGTGACGTAATAGTGACAGATGACGTTACAACGCCACTGTGACAGATAATTTTAAATGGGACCTTATGGCAAGTGATACCTCGTTTGAAAGGTATTGAAAATACCTATTCAGTCATAATAATTTTATTTGAGTTTAAGCTTATTTTGATAAATAAATTAAATAAATACTAAAATTGTAGTTTCGCATTTAATTAATAAATATTAAAACCTCCGCCTCTGGTTACTTGTCAAAAAGTTGACGTTTTTCAATGATCTAATTGTTTTTACGTCAACGTCAACTTTTTTGACAATTAACCAGAGGCGAACGTTAAAATATTTATTGATTAAATGCGAAACTACAATTATTTTAATATACCTATTCATTCATACTACTTTTGTTTGGAGTTAAGATGCTTTTGACGAATAAATTAAATAAATACTAAAATTCTAATTTGTCATTTAATTAATAAAATTCACACGTCAGTCTTTGGTTATTTGTCAAAAAAGTTGACGTTTGTCAATTCTCTAGTTGTTTTTAGTTTGCAAAAGCGTTTATAGCCCAATATTTAGTTTCTGTTTCTATTTAGTTTAGTCAATTCAAGTTTAGTCAAGTTGTTTTTAGTTA